ATTCATGATGTGAAATCTAGTTAAATCCAGATCCAGTTCCAGATAGAGAAATGTGCACATTAAAGCGTGCAACGACCTTGTCAAAACCGACAATAATTTATGGAGCAGAATGCCTCTATGGTAAGAAGATGAGAGCCAAGAATTATCCATTTTATCCATTGCGCTCTAGTCTGAAGAACTGGGAAAACATGTTTTTTTAATGGATTGCATGCTTTTGGATGAAGCTCTCGAGGTTATGACGAAGGCGAGAATGAAGATTTGTGGGAAAAAAGATATTGAAAGTGACAAAACAACAGCATGCTTCGCGATTAGAAACTAGAAACAAGGCATATGTTATAACCATGAAAACGAAGGAGGTTCGCCTAAGATGGTAATTATGTTACGAAGACGATGAAAAAACAAATACGAAAGTTTTTACTCGCAAGTGCTGCCAGAAAACCAGAATGGATAAGATAGTTTACACAAAAGTGAAAACAGCTTAACACATTTACGAGAAAGCTTATTTTTCGATCACTGCCATTTCGAACCAGAGCCTTTTGTCAAACTTATGATCCACCTGTGGGTATTGTCCGAAAGTTCGTCTTTCTGGAGAAAATTCAAGATATGTCTCTAAAAAGTTACCCAGAGGGTTATCGAAGGCTCTGATTATCGAAACATGACTTTTATAATATTTGGAATTATGCGGTAGGCTTAGTCACGATTATAGTGCCCATTCTGTTCAGTACTGTCCCACAGAGAGGTTGCGGTAGCAGTACGATATTTTCGTAAAAATCAAGAAACTATTGTAAAAAGGCGTTATTAGAACTTGGGACTGTTATTTTCGTAATCAGCAGGTTACAAAACGTATATATGTAAGATATGAGCTTCCTGGGACAGTGCAAAAAATCAATAAAATCAATAAATCTGATATTTCTTGAAGGGCTAACATCAGCTTTTGCCAGTAATATCACTCATGGTACCCCCGATTGACCACTTTAGCTGAAGCATCGCCTAGGTTTCCCCAATCATGTACCAGAATCCCCTAGAATTCCATCGTAAACAGGCAAAGCTAGAGCTTCAGGAATCTTATGACCAACCGGTGGATCGTATTGTCCGAAATGGCAGTACATGCACGACCCACCGGTGGATCGTATTGTCTTGAATGGAATCTTGAATTAATTAGTGAGCTACCGTCGGTTTCTAAAAGCTTTGTGATTTTTCAATATCATTATTTCTTTTTGATTGTCACAATCAACACATCATTATACAATCAGCAAAACGTTGCAAGAATAGCCAAATTTGCATCAATTTAGTATTCTGAATATAGATTGACAACTTTCACTTTGATTTTACATTTTTGTGCCCACTTTGTCACTGTCTATTGCGTCAGTTGTCTCCTTTGCATTTTTACTTCACTAAAATTGATTTTAGCTCCTAAGTGCAAGTGACTATGTTCTACCTACATTTGCCTTGCTGTGAGATTCCTCCCTTTTATGAGCTATTCAACTTGAAATAATGCAGTTCCATACAAGGTCAGTTTAGATTATGCATTCGCAAGTAAAGCTCATGCAATACTTATTTTTCAGGCAATAATCGTGCGACCTGAAACCTATATTACCCACATACTGTCAAATTCAACATTCATACGAATTTTTCCGATTAGGCGGCCTTGAAGACTCCAATTCCTCCACTGGGTATGAAGTGAGTCATGATAGCATGATCAATATACCTCACTAACTGACCTTTTTCACTTTTCTACCAAAGGACGGCCGATCCAATTCTGAGAGGTATAGGATATCCATTAGCTCTAGCTCTGTTAATAAATCACTATCACCATGCATATCCATAATCTTTGATTGTGCAATCAATATTGCAGAGAAAGAAGCAAAAAAGTTATGGCTCCGAACAGATGCCAGCCGGTTTTACATTAGATTGTTGTGAGAAACCGATCGTGCTTCAGCAACCGGCTCATATTATGTTTTTTCTATGCAATGGTTTCCACAATGGTTTTGTCTCATTCTTCCAAGTAGCAATATGTCGCTTTGTTCGCTGCTTTGATAGATGGGTTAATTTATTTTATTTATGAGGAGTTTTCCAAAAAAAAAGATGTATATTCTTGTCTCCTCTCAATACAACACAAACACTTACTT